AAAATCTAACCTAAACTTAAACCTAACCTAAATTACACAACAGAGGGTTGAAATTTCGGTTTTTTGAGAGAGCTCTGGAGGGAAATTTTCAAAAATGGCTTCCGAGTTTTTTCAAGATAACAAACGAATTATGCGTGAAACAAAAAAAATACTATCTCTTTATCTCTTTCTTCACGAGATAATTTTGAGATGATATAGCGATACGTATTGCAGTATCGGGCATTTACATTGCATGTAAATGAATGTAAAATTAGACTGGCAAGGTAGTAATTATGCTAAATAATAAAATAAACGGGATGTGATCCGTACTATTGATTATTCGTATAAAAGGAAGTTCTTTATTTTCCGACCTCGGTGTATTGAAATATTTAGTACTAGAGGACTAAATAATCGATAAGTACGATTGGTATAAATGTGTAATAACGTGATTGGACATTGGACGTTGATATAATTATTGATATCTTTTAATGGCGGAAAAATTGTTTCGCGAAAATTGTTTTGCAGGACGACTGCTCGTTGCGCACGAATAATCGATACACGGAAGCCAGAATCAGAGATTCAGAACGTGAGAATTTGCAGCAACTAGAGTGAAGAGTAATTAAGCTTGAAATAATAATTCAACGGGACACTAATCGATTGATTGGCGGACGAAAAGTATAGTTCGTTCAACTGTAATAAATAGTGAATCTTTTGTTTCTCGCGTTGTACGTTGTAATATTTCCCGACGTGGAGACACTCGAAAGCTGAAAATAAACCGATAACGACGTAGCATCCAAAATCCTCTATTTTTATCAATTCTTCTTCCTTCAGAACCTCGAACCTTTTTTCTTTCTTCTTTCAATCGTACGTTCATTTTTCACAAACAGTGATAATCGATAGCATTTCCCTAAGGAAACAACGTCCCCCTGAGAGCCCATTATTAGACACCGAGTCGTCTATTTCCTGCAACTACTTTTTCAAATCGCTTTGGAATTTTCCTCGAAATTTTTATCATTGGAAAGTTAGCGAGTTAGTGAAGAAGTATACACTGGAAAATGGGAAACAATAGCATATCCAAAACTTGTATTTAATTAATTTCCACGATACGATCTTAAAAACACTAGAAAAATGGCCAAAGTGACCAATTGATAAATTTCGTTAGAAAAACGCAAAGGATATATTTCCAGGAATTTGAATGACTTTCTCGAAGCGAATCTTCGATTTGTTGTTTTATTACTCTAACATTCACAAAAGAAGTGTGAAAATTAGAAGAGACTCTAACAAACATATTAAAAAGTTGAGCACACTGAAGGTATTTCAGTTGCAATTCTGAAAAAGTTTGAATGGAAATATTCGATTCGAAGGAAAGTAGTTTCAAAGAAGAAAAAAAAAAAAAAAAAAGAAAAAGTCTGTTTGCTGGTGATAAATAAACAGCAGAATGGCGATAATTCATTTCGCACCGTGGCGCATAAATATGGCGATAAATTCGACGAGAACCGCCGGTGTATTCTTGGAAAATTGCGAATGAAAAAAAATATTTATGTTTTACGACTTCCCAAGCGACCACGAGTGAAAGAAAAACAACTAAAACCAAATATCCTCTGTGGGCCAACAAAGCGCCAATGTGTACTTCAATTTGGCTTCGTTGTAACTCGAATAACATTCCTGTTAAATAGAGAGGAAAGGAAATATATATATATATAGAGAGAGAGAGAGGGAGAGAGAGAGAGAACGATTACCTTATTTGTTGACAAATACTATATTTTTCCTCTTAACGTCATTTCAACATTTAAAAAACGAAAGATAAGATACCACACAGTTGGTTATTAAAGTACACTGAAATCACAGAAATGGTAAAAGACTGAATAAATAAAATGAAAACAAGGAGTAATAATGATGGTTCATACCTTGGAATAGTGTTGTCATCCGTTGGGAAGAGAAGTAATGTATATTTAAAAAAAAAAAAAA